CTTCTATGCGTTGTCAAAGGCATTTGACTCTCTAACGAATCTTTAAAATAGCGAAACTTGACGAAAAAGGCTTTCGAAGAGCTGGTCTACAAGTGAAAAAGTGCCATATCATTGATATGAAATAAAAATTATCTTCACTTACTTTTACCAGACAAACGTTTGACAACTCATTTCGTTTCACATTTTCCTCCAACAGAGACAAAATCTGTAATAGCTTATTCAAAAGAGTGACACGAATAGGATTCCATGTTCTATTTTAAACAAACGTATCGCATGTCATTCATCGCCAAATAATATTCGCAAAAGAACTAAGTTGCGCTCAAGTTCGAAGTGAATGATTTTCAAAAAAAAGTATGTATCTGTATATGTAATCAGATGAAGTATTATAAGGGAGTATGCGAAAGAGAAAAAAGTTGCCAGCGGCTTGAGGCGTTACTAAACATTTGCAGGCTCTAGGGATCACGATTCATCCAGGTAATCAGATTTCTTTACTTTCTCCTAACATTGTCAAGGAAGATAAAAACTCCTTCAAGTCAAACTGCTTCTAAAGTTCTACCGAAGTCCACTCAGTTCAGCCCAACGCCTCTACTATTCCAAACTAGAGTCCGATGCATGGCGCATACCGAAGATCTCGAATAGAGATAGAGCAACACATTTTCTACCAACGCGGTTATCAACTTTTCAGCTGAGGTTTCTTTCATGGCTTTTAGGTGGAAGAAAATCTAGCATAGTAATAGTTATTTTTGCCGGTATGTGAAATCGAAGATGAAAAGAAATAGTCGGGTCTCATCCAGTAAGGGGGGGGGGCATTGTGATGCAACGTCAAGTGGCTGCCCTCACCCCCCACCCCCTAGACTGCCTTCACTCCCCCTGGCTCACGGGGTCCCGTACTTCGAGAAACCTGTGCGCCAGGGGGAGTGTAGGCAGTCTAGGGGGTGGGGGTGAGGGCAGCCACTTGATGCCCCCCTTACTGGATGAGACCCTTCTATCGTTACCTATGTAGGAATTATTAGGGTCGCTATCTTTTCCACCTTCTCTTCTTTATCGCCCACCGACCCAATACACTGCCACTTCATGAATACGTCGCAATGCGTGATCGTAACTGATTCGTTTTATAAGACGAGTGAAATATACCTCCTCGTTGGG